ACCACCGCGCAGCTCGTCTCCAGCTCAGGCGGAGCTTCGGCTCGGACTTTCCTGTTCTGCGTCTGCACTCGGACAGAGGCGGAGAGTTCTCCTCTGGCCTTCTGCGAGCCTACTGTCGTGCACGAGGCATCCATCAGACCTTCACGCTTCCGGACTCTCCACAGCAAAATGGGATTGCTGAGCGCCGCATTGGCATGGTCATGGACGTCGCCCGTACGTCCATGATGCATGCGGCTGCCCCCCATTTTCTGTGGTCGTTTGCGGTCCGGTACGCGGCGCATCAGATCAACCTTCAGCCCAGGGTCTCCATGGCGGAGACCTCCCCAGCTTTGCTGCGGACGGGGAAGGTTGGCGATGCGTCTGCGTTCCGTGTCTGGGGATCTCGAGCGTTTTTCCGCGACTTGTCTGCGGACAAGCTGTCCCCTCGCGCTGCTCCCTGCGTCTTCCTGGGTTTCCCCCAAGACGCGCCAGGGTGGCAGTTCTACCACCCCACCTCTCGCCGTGTTCTGTCCTCCCAGGACGTCACGTTCGACGAGCCGGTCCCCTACTACCGTCTCTTCCCCTACCGCGCTCCGTCCCTCCCCCCGCCACCGCTCTTCCTTGTGCCAGGTCCCCCCCCGGTAGACCTCCTCCCCCCTCATGGCCCTGCCCCTTCAGGTGTGTCCTAGGTAGACGCTGTTGAGCCTATCGAGGTCGCTGGTGACAATGGTGCTGCTGAGGGTACTGAGCCTGGGGGTGCTGACTCTGGGGGTGTTGAGCATGTGGGTGCTACGCCTGGGGGTGCTGAGCCTGGGGGTGCTGAGCCTGGGGGTGCTGAGCCTGGGGGTGCTGAGCCTGGGGGTGCTGAGCCTGGGGGTGCTGAGCCTGGGAGTGCTGAGACTGGGGGTGCTGAGCCTGGGGGTGCTACGCCTGGGGGTGCTACGCCTGGAGGTGCTGAGCCTGGAGGTGCTGAGCCTGAGGGAGCTGGGCCTGCTCGTGTGGCGTCTAGCGGAGCTGTGCCTGGCGGTTCTCCGGGTGCTTCGTGTCGCCGGGAGCCACTCTCTCCACAGGAGCTACGTGAGTGGTTTGCCTGGCGCTAGAGGCGAGCTGCTGGAGCTAGAGGTGCTACGGGTACTGGAGGTTCTGCTGCTGCTGAGGGTGCTGGTGCCGCGGGTCCCGAAGGTGCTCGTACTGGGAGTACTGGAGCTGCTGGGCCTGCAGGTACTTCTAGAGCTAGAGCTGCTGCGGGTGTTGGCGCGGAGGCTACTGCTGTCGGTCCTGGAGCCGGTCCTGCTGGGGGTGCTACTGGTGCTGCTGGAGGTACTTGAGCTGGAGGTCCTGCTGGTGCTGGTGCTGCCGCTGGGGGTACAGGTGCTGTCCCTGCTGTGTCTGGAGTCGCCGCGCGGCCTCGGCCGTACTTCGTTCCGCTCCTTCAGCAGGTTCTTGGTCTCCCGCCTTCTACAGGTCCTCCTCCTCCCTTAGAGTGTCCACATCCTGTCCCGTCACAGTTACAGTTACAGCCGGCCTCCCCACAGCCTGCTCCGTCTCCCTACACTGGTCCTACTGGAGGTCTTGCTGAGCGTCGTGAGCCTGCGTCTCGCCCTGCGTCGCCTGTCCGTGCTGCTCGCACTAGTGGTCGCGGTTCAGCGTCAGCGTCCTCCTCATGTCTCTGGCACGCACCAGATGTCTCTGCGTCCATCCACTGCTCCTCCGCGTGCCCCTTTACCTTCTCCTCCTGAGTCTTCTCTTCCTGCTCTTGCCGACCCGGAGTCGGACTCTCTTCGTGCTGCCAGTCCTACTGTCACGCGTCTCCTTGCTACTGCTGTCACTGACCCTTCCTTTGAGTCCACTGCTGCGTCTGCCCTAGTTGCTGAGCTCGTCGACTTTGCTGCTCGCTGTCGCCTAGACTACGAAGCCAATCTTGTTGCTGAGTCTGAGTCTGTCTGTCCTCCGTCCGTCGGGGGTGAGGTGTGCCCTTGGCATGGACGTCCTTGAGGACAGGCAGGAGGAGTTCCAGTGTCTGGCAGCTGCTTCACCTCATCTCGTGTCCGTACTGCTTACCCCTGAGGGAGAACCGGATGCACTTGACATCCCGACTCCGCGCTCTTACGCGGAGGCGATAGAGGGTCCCTACTCCTCTCAGTGGCAGGCAGCTATGGACGCAGAGATGGCTTCCTAGAAGTCCACAGGCACCTACGTTGACAAGGTTCCCCCGCCTGGGGCGAACATCGTCAGTGGCATGTGGATTTTCAGGGTGAAGCGGCCGCCGGGTTCTCCGCCTGTCTTCAAGGCGCGTTACGTGGCTCGTGGCTTCAGTCAGCGGCAGGGAGTTGACTACTTTCAGACCTTCTCTCCCACCCCAAAGATGACCACTCTTCGGGTACTACTGCACGTTGCTGCTCACCGTGACTACGAGCTACACTCTCTTGACTTCAGCATTGCTTTCCTGCAGGGCAGCCTGCACGAGGAGATCTGGCTGCGCCGCCCACCTGGCTTCACTGGGACTTTTCCTCCTGGCACCCAATGGAGCTTCCGGCGGCCAGTCTACGGTCTTCGCCAGGCACCCCATGAGTGGCACGACACACTGAGGACTACACTTGCGGCTCTTGGGTTTGCTCCCTCTACTGCCGACCCGTCGCTGTTTCTGCGCACCGACACTTCTCTGCCGCCGTTCTACATCCTCGTGTACGTCGACGACTTGGTCTTTGCCACAGCTAACACTGCTGGACTCGCCCACGTGAAGTCCGAGCTGCAGAAGAGACACACGTGCACTAACGTGGGTGAACTGCGTAGCTACCTTGGCTTGCAGATTACCCGGGACAGAGCACGCCGCACCATTACCCTGACTCAGTCACACATGGTGCAGCAGGTCCTTCAGCGCTTCGGCTTCACGTACTCCTCGCCTCAGGCCACTCCTCTGCCTACTTGCCACTCGCTCTCAGCTCTGCCTTCGGATGAGTCCGTAGAGTCGAGTGGCCCGTACCCAGAGCTTGTTGGCTGCCTCATGTACCTGATGACCTGCACACGACCTGACCTTGCATACCCTCTTAGCATTCTCGCACGCTATGTTGCTCTTGGGAGACACAGACCGGAGCACATGGCTGCAGCGAAGAGGGTGTTGCACTACTTGTGCAGTACGTCGGGCATGGGGCTTGTGCTTGGAGGGCAGAGTCGAGTGGTCCTCACTGGGCACGCAGACGCTTCTTGGGCTGACGACCAGGCTACGCAGCGGTCGTCACAGGGTTACACCTTCAGCCTTGGTTCCGGCTCTGTTTCGTGGCGGGCTACTCGCTCGTCTTCTGTTCTCGTCTCCAGTTGTGAACCTGAGATCTACGCAGGAGCCATGGCTGCTCAGGAGCTTCGCTGGCTCACCTACCTGCTGACTGACCTCGGAGAGGTGCCTCGTTCTCCTCTAGTGCTGTACGTAGACAACAAGGCCATGCTGGCCTTGTGTCGGGATCAGCGACTGGAGCACAGAACGAAGCACATTGCTCTCCGGTACTTTCTTGCTCGTGAGCTGCAGCAGCGTGGTCAGCTGCGTCTTGCGTACGTGGCCTCTGAGGCCAACACTGCTGATATCTTCACCAAGGCGCTTGCGCCTTGTGATCATCAGCGCTTCTGTACTCAGCTGGGTCTTGTGCCTGCCTTGCCTCACTTGCTCACCTCTTGACCTTGTTTGTAATGTTACATATATATATACACCTGCTCTTGCTTGTCTAGCATTTTATATATACACGTACTTCTGCATGTGAACTAGCCTTGTGGCCTTGAACTTGTGCTCGGAACGTGTGGTGACTTTGTGATCCACCCTGAGCTTGCTTTGCTTTGCTTGACTGGTCTTGTGATGTCAGAACATTATAGCTTATACTTTTGTGTAGGCTGTAGTGGGGTATCCCATAGGGGGTACAACCCAATTAGGGTTTGTACTTGTACCCTCTTCTTTCATAGTTCATTCATTCTCGTTTCTTCTCATGGTATCGAGTAGGTTCCCTCGTGGGAACAGTTCCTAGGGCCCACCAAAATCGAAGTTTTTTTTTTCCTGCCCGGAGCGCGCCTCGCTTAGTCCTCCTTCGGTCCCGTCTTGTCGCCCCTAGCGGCCTCCCTTCCGACGCCCTTGCTCGGCCGTCGCTGCCCTTAGCGGCCCGTCGCCACCCTGCGCCGCCCGTCCCGGCCAAGCGCCGCCGTCCCGGCCCGCCTTACCTGCGGCCCCGCCACCCTACCCGTGGCTCCGCCACCCTACCCTCGGCCCCGCCGCCTCACTCAGCGGCCCCGCCACCCTACCTGCGGCCCCGCCGCCCTACCTACGGCCCGGCCACCCTATCAGCGGCCTCGCCACCCTACCTGCGGCCCCGCCGCCTCACTTGCGGCCCCGCCGCCTCACTCAGCGGCCCCGCCACCCTACCTGCGGCCCCGCCGCCCTACCTAAGGCCCGGCCACCCTATCAGCGGCCCCGCCACCCTACCTGCGGCCCCGCCGCCTCACTTGCGGCCCCGGCGCCTCACTCAGCGGCCCCGCCACCCTACCTGCGGCCCCGCCGCCACACTCAGCGGCCCCGCCACCCTACCTGCGGCCCCGCCGCCTCGCTCTTAGCCCCGTCTCCTGCTGCAGCGCCGCCCGCCACCCGAGCCGCCCGAGCCGTCCCACCCGGCCGAGCAGCCGACCGCCGCGCCGCCCTACAGCAGCACAACCGAGCCGCCCGGCAGCAGAGCAGCCGAGCCGCCCCGCAGCCGAGCCGCCCAGCAGCAGAGCCGCCGAGCCGCCGAGCCGCCCAGCAGCCGAGCCGCCCAGCAGCCGAGCCGCCCAGTAGCCGAGCCGCCCAACAGCAGAGCCGCCGAGCCGCCGAGCCGCCCAGCAGCCGAGCCGCTGAGCTGCCGAGCCGCCGAGCCGCCCAGCAGCCGAGCCGCTGAGCCGCCAAGCCGCCCTACTTCCGGGCCGCCCGACCTGCCCAGTCTGGTGAGCACAGCGCCTTTTTCACTGCACTTCCCTCACCCTACTGTTTGCCCTGCTAGTCGTCTAGGGTCATGGCTACCTCTAGTGTCCTCGCCTTTGACGCTGAAGGTCGAGCCATTGACTTTGAGGTCTGGGTAGACGGCCTCTCTCTCTTTGACCTCACCTCTGGCGCTTCCCCTCCCCCTGCTGTTGATGCTGACGCCACTGTTCGCTCCCAGTGGGCCACGCGCGACGCTGCTGCACGTCTTGCTGTGCGTCGCCACCTCCCTACCTCCGAGCGTGCGCACTTTAGTCAGTACAAGAGTGCTCAGACCTTGTACGACACTGTAGTCGCGCGCTACTCCTCCCCTGCCACTGCTGCACTGAGCCGTCTCATGCTACCGTACCTCTTTCCTGACCTTGCTGCCTTTCCCACAGTAGCTGACCTCATTACGCACCTCCGCACTAGTGACACTCGCTACCGCGCTGCACTTCTGGCTGACTTCTGCGCCAAGAACCCCCCTCCCATGTACATCACTCTCTACTACATAGTCACACGCCTCCCTGACTCCCTTCGTGTAGTCAGGGACCACTTCCTCTCAGTCTGTCCCACCACTCTCACTGTCGACCTCCTCGAGAAGGCCCTCCTAGCGATAGAGAAGAGCATAGTCGCTGTAGGAGGCTCTCGAGGTGACACGCGCACCCCCATCTTTGAGGGATGTTCCCCCTCCCCCCTTCTGCCCTCTGTTGCCTCTGCTGCTGCGGCCGACCTCCTTCGTCTTGAGTCGGTCGGTGCGGCTGTCTGCCCCTAGCGGAAGACGCCGCCCTGGCAAGGGCAAGGGGGGCAAGGGCGCTGGAGGAGCGAGCGGGGGCAGTGGAGGTGGAGGTGGCAGCGGTGGGGGGAGTGGGGGTGGCGGTGGGAGTGGAGGTGGGAGTGGAGGGGTCGGTGGCGGCAGTGGAGGCGGAGGCGGCGGCGGCGGTGGCGGTGGGAGCGGAGGTGGCGGAGGAGGCGGCGGTGGAGGAGGCGGCGGAGGCGGCGGAGGCGGCGGCAGTAGCGGAGGCGGCGGAGGCGGTGGGGGTGGCGGTGCAGCTGGTCGCGGGTCTTCGCAGAGGAGTGGCTCCGGTGGTGGCTCACGCCAGCAGCAGTAGCGCGGTTGTGAGACCCTGTCCCCTCAGCAGCTCCGTCAGTGGTACACTGCACGCCAGCGGGGTGGGGGTTTTGGTCCATGCTCCTACGTCCTACGCACCGGCGACCGTGCAGGGTGAGCAGTGTGGGGGAGCGCACCCCTCCCAGCGCTGCTTTGGCCGCCTGACGGACGCGTGGCGTCGCCAGTTCCCGGAGGCGTCGGAGATCCCTCGCTGGGGCGAGCTGTCTAGGGCGGGTGTTGCCATCTATGATCTTGACTTTGATGCTATTCTCTCTGCCATGTATGCTGTGTCTATTAGTGATGAGGGTGACTGTTACCGGTGTTTCCCGCCCGATCCGGGCATTGAGACTGCTGCTATAGGTACTGGTGCTTGCGACGCTACTACTCTAGGTGCTAGTGTGTCTGTTTCCTTACGTACTGGTGAGTCTGCGCTCTCAGGTACTACGTCGGCTTTGGCCTCCCTCACCTTCACCCTTGACTCTGGGGCGTCTCGCTCCTTCTTTCGGGACCGCACCACACTCACGCCGCTTAGTCGGCCGGTTGCGGTGTCTCTGGCTGACCCCTCTGGGGGTCCTCTCCTGTCTCGTTTCTCCACAGTCCTCCCATGTTCTGCGGCTCCCTCTGGCACCCTATCTGGTCTCTACCTCCCCTCGTTCTGTACGAACCTGGTGAGTGGTGCTGACCTACAGGATGCGGGTGTCCACCAGTTCACTCCTGCGCGCCAGCGGGTGACGCACTGCACAGAGGCTAGCACAGGCCGACACCTGGCTACAGTTTACACGTCAGCCGGGGTCGAGCCTGTACACACTGACCACTGCGTCTCCTCCCGTTGCTGAGTCTGGTTGGGTAGCTGCGTCGGGTCAGGTGTTTGCTGCAGCGTCCAGGTCTGGTCCTGAGTCTGCCCCCTGTTCGTGTCGTCTCCTGTCTCATGAGACTCTCCTCTAGCACCACCGCCTTGGTCACCCCTCTCTGCTTCGGCTCAGAGGCATGGCCTCCCGTCTTCTTGTGTCTGGTCTCCCCCGGTCCCTCCCTCCCCTTCCTTCAGGGCCCTGGCCCTACCTGTGTCCCATGTGTCGAGGGGCGCCCGCGTGATGCCCCTCACTCCTCCCAGTTTCCTCCGACAGAGGCCCCGTTGCAGACGCTTCACATGGACGTGTGGGGCCCAGCCCGTGTCCGTGGACAGGGTCACGAGCGCTACTTCCTACTGGTTGTTGACGACTACTCGCGTTACACCGCAGTCTTCCCCTTGCGCAGCAAGGGTGATGTCACTGAGGTGTTGATCGACTGGATCCACGCAGCTCGTCTCCAGCTCAGGCAGAGTTTTGGCTCGGACTTTCCTGTTCTGCGTCTGCACTCGGACAGAGGCGGAGAGTTCTCCTCCGGCCTTCTGCGAGCCTACTGTCGTGCACGAGGCATCCAGTCAGACCTTCACGCTTCCGGACTCTCCGCAGCAAAATGGGATTGCTGAGCGCCGCATTGGCATGGTCATGGACGTCGCCCGTACGTCTATGATGCATGCGGCTGCCCCCCATTTTCTGTGGCCGTTTGCGGTGAGGTACGCGGCGCATCAGATCAACCTTCACCCCAGGGTCTCCAGGCCGGAGACCTCCCCAGCCTTGGTGTGGACGGGGAAGGTTGGCGATGCGTCTGCGTTCCGGGTCTGGGGATCTCGGGCATTTGTCCGCGACTTGTCTGCGGACAAGCTGTCCCCTCGTGCTGCTCCTTGCGTCTTCCTGGGGTTCCCCCCTGACGCGCCTGGGTGGCAGTTCTACCACCCCACCTCTCGCCGTGTTCTGTCCTCCCAGGACGTCACGTTTGACGAGTCGGTCTCCTACTACCGCCTCTTCCCCTACCGCACTCCGTCCCTCCCCCCGCCCCCGCTCTTCCTTGTCCCAGGTCCCCCCCCCGGTAGACCTCCTCCCCCCTCAGGGTCTTGCCCCTTCAGGTGTGTCCCAGGTAGACGCAGTCGAGCCTGTCGAGGTCACTGGTGACTCTGGTGCTGCTGGAGGTGCTTGAGCCTGGGGGTGCTGGGCGTGGGGGTGCGGAGCCTAGGGGTGCTGAGCCTGGGAGTGCTGAGCCTGGGGGTGCTGAGCCTGGGGGTGCTGAGCCTGGGGGTGCTGAGCGTGGGGGTACTGCGCCTTGGGGTGCTGAATCTGGGGGTGCTACACCTGGGGGTGCTGAGCCTGGGGGTGCTGAGCCTGGGGGTACTGAGTCTGGGGGTGCTACGCCTGGGGGTGCTGAGCCGGGAGGTGCTCCGCTTGGAGGTTCTCTGGGTGCTTCGTCTCTGCGGGAGCCACTCTCTCTACAGGAGCTGCGCGAGTGGTTTGCCCGGCGCTGGAGGCATGCTGCTGGTGGTGGAGGTTCTTCGGCTACTGAGGGTGCTGCTGTTGCGGGCCCCGGAGGTGCTCGTACTGGGAGTACTGGAGCTGCTGGGCCTGCGGGTGCGACTGGAGCTGGTGCTACTGAGGGTGTGGGAGCTGAGACTTCTGCTGGCGGTCCTGCTGCGGGTACTCTTGGCGCTGCTGGAGGTGCTGCTTGAGCGAGTGCTCCTGCTGGGGGTACTGGTACTGTCCCTGCTGCTTCTGGCGTCGCCACACGGCCTCGACCGTACTTCGTTCCACTCCTGCAGCAGGTTCTTGGTCTTCCACATTCTACTGGTCCTCCTCCTCCCTTAGCTTGTCCGCAGCCTGTCCCATCACAGTTCAAGATGCAGCCTACCTCCCCTTTGCCTGCTCATTCTCCCTACGCTGGTCCTACTGGAGGTCTTGCTGAGCGTCGTGAGCCTGCGTCTCGCCCTACGTCGCCTGTCCGTCCTGCTCGCTCTAGTGGTCGTGGTTCGCGTCCGCGTCCTCCTCCTGTCCCTGGCACGCACAGGATGTCTCTGCGTCCGTCTACTGCCCCTCTGCGTGCCCCTTTGCCTACTCCTCCTGAGTCCTCTCTTCCTGCTCTTGCCGACCCGGAGTCGGACTCTCTTCGTGCTGCCAGTCCTACTGTCACGCGTCTCCTTGCTACTGTTGTCACTGACCCTTCTTTCGAGTCCACTGCTGCGTCTGCCCTAGTTGCTGAGCTCGTCGACTTTGCTGCTCACTGTCGCCTAGACTACGCTGCTAGTCTTATCGCTGAGTCTGAGTCTGTCTGTCCTCCGTCCGTCGGGGGTGAGTGTGCCCTTGGCACGGATGTCCTTGAGGACAGGCACGAGGAGTTCTAGTGTCTGGCAGCTGCTTCACCTCATCTCGTGTCCGTACTGTTTACCCCTGAGGGAGACCCGGATGCACTTGACATCCCGACTCCGCGCTCTTATGCGGAGGCGATAGAGGGTCCCTACTCCTCTCAGTGGCAGGCAGCTATGGATGCAGAGATGGCTTCCTGGAAGTCCACAGGCACCTACGTTGACGCTGTTCCCCCTCCTGGGGCGAACATCGTTAGTGGCATGTGGATCTTCAGGGTGAAGCGGCCGCCGGGTTCTCCGCCTGTCTTCAAGGCGCGTTACGTGGCTCGTGGCTTCAGTCAGCGGCAGGGAGTTGACTACTTTCAGACCTTCTCCCCCACCCCGAAGATGACCACTCTTTGGGTACTGCTGCACGTTGCTGCTCACCGTGACTACGAGCTGCACTCTCTCGAGTTCAGCACTGCTTTCTTGCAGGGCAGCCTGCACGAGGAGATCTGGCTGCGCCGCCCACCTGGCTTCACTGGGTCTTTCCCTCCTGGTACCTAGTGGAGTGGCCGTCGTCCAGTCTACGGTCTCCGCCAGGTGCCACGTGAGTGGCACGACACACTGAGGACTACGCTTGCGGCTCTTGGGTTTGCTCCTTCTACTGCCGACCCGTCGCTGTTTCTGCGCACCGACACCTCTCTGCCGCCGTTCTACATCCTCGTGTACGTCGACGACTTGGTCTTTGCCATAGCTGACACTGCTGGACTCGCCTACGTGAAGTCCGAGCTGCAGAAGAGACACACGTGCACTGACCTAGGTTAACTGCGCAGCTACCTTGGCTTGCAGATCACCCGGGACAGAGCACGCCGCACCATTACCCTGACTCAGTCACACATGGTGCAGCAGGTCCTTCAGCGCTTTGGCTTCACGTACTCCTCGCCTTAGGCCACTCCTCTGCCTACTCGCCACTCACTCTCAGCTCTGCCTTCGGATGAGTCCGTAGAGTCGAGTGGCCCGTATCCAGAGCTTGTTGGCTGCCTCATGTACCTGATGACCTGCACACGACCTGACCTTGCATACCCTCTTAGCATTCTTGCACGCTTTGTTGCTCCTGGGAGACACCGACCAGAGCACATGGCTGCAGCGAAGAGGGTGTTGCACTACTTGTGCAGTACGTCGGGCATGGGGCTAGTGCTTGGAGGGCGGAGTCCGGTGGTCCTCACTGGGCACGCGGACGCTTCTTGGGCTGACGACCAGGCTACGCAGCGGTCGTCACAGGGTTACACCTTCAGCCTTGGTTTCGGCTCTGTTTCGTGGCGGGCTACTCGCTCGTCTTCTGTTCTCGGCTCCAGTTGTGAGGCTGAGATCTACGCCGGGGCCATGGCTGCACAGGAGCTTCGCTGGCTCACCTACCTGCTGACCGACCTTGGAGAGCCGCCTCGTTCTCCTCCAGTCCTGTACGTAGACAACAAGGCCATGCTGGCCTTGTGTCGAGAGCAGAGACTGGAGCACAGAACAAAGCACATTGCTCTTCGCTACTTTCTTTCTCGTGAGCTACAGCAGCGTGGTTAGTTGCGGCTTGCGTACATGGCCTCTGAGGCCAACACTGCTGATGTTTTCACCAAGGCACTTCCGCCTTGTGATCATCAGCGCTTCTGCACTCAGCTGGGTCTTGTCCCTGTCTTGCCTCACTTGCTCACCCCTTGACCTTGCTTGTACTGTTACATATATATATATACCTGCTCTTGCTTGTCTAGCCTTATACATATATGTACTCCTGCATGTGAACTGGCCTTGTGGCCTTGAACTTGTGCTCAGAATGTGTGGTGACGTTGTGATCCACCCTGAGCTTGCTTTGCTTTGCTTTGCTTGATCGGTCTTGTGACCCCTTGTTCTCCCCCACTTTGCCTATGGGGGTGTGTCAGAACATTATAGCTTATACTTTTGTGTAGGCTGAAGTGGGGTATCCCATAGAGGGTACAACCCAATTAGGGTTAGTACTTGTACCCACTTCTTTCATAGTTCATTCATTCTCGTTTCTTCTCATGTGACCCCTTGTTCTCCCCCACTTTGCCTATGGGGGTGTGACAAAACATCATAGCTTATGCTTTTGTGTAGGCTATAGTGGGGTAGCCCATAAGGGGTACAGCCCAATTAGGGTTAGTACTTGTACCCAACCCTTTCATAGTTCATTCATTCTCGTTCATTCTCACAATTTCGTCTAAACACACCCACCCACCATCGAGATCGGCCGAATCTGCAATGTCAGATATATGTTGCTCTGATTGGTGGTTGTGCTCTGACAGCGGAAGGAAATTTGTTGTGTCAGGGCCAATTCTCTGTGATCGGGCGAATTTGTTGCTCTGTACGGCGCGAATGCACTTTGTCAACGCGAATTTGCTATGACGCTGGTGCTGTGATGTGACCAGTCAACTCGGGTCCAAATCACCAGTCAAATACAAGTGCGCAACCAGAAATCTGAAGAACGAACGGCCGTCCAATTCTGATTGGTCATCAAATCCACACAGGACCTTCTAAATATCGGAACCATACCAAGTTTCGATAATGGACAGCGCGTTACTAACACTGATCCTGACTTCTCGACCTTGAACAATCGGACTAAATAACGTCCCAACACTGAGCAATCAGGGTGATGTTGTTTTGAAAAATGTGCACCCATAATACAAGGGGAATTTTTTTCCCGGATTCAGGGAGGCCTAATTTGAAACGTCAGCCCTGACTAGGAAAAAAAAATCATCGAGGTTTGTGTCTTGCAGGTGGGTGTGCTAGGGGTTAAATTTATTCTATCTGATTACCCTTCTCTCAAATTCAACTCTCATTCTGATTTCGCGCAACTTTATCTACCCATGAAGTGTGCATGTGAAATTGTTCTTGTTTTTCCATCATTTACCTTCAGAACCTTCCACCCGAGCATCCGAAATTTCCTACTGCCGGTTGTAGCAAGGAAGGGTGGTGTCGAAGGGGAAACTACTTAGGAACCCTCGTCATTTACCTTCGCCCGCCCTCCTCCCTCCCTCAGCGTAGCTGCCTGCATGTCCTGTCAGAATGAGAGAAGTGATTGTACTAGCAAGATTGGGAGTACAAGTAGGAAAACCCTAGAATGTTGTACCCTCTAAGGCTAAACCCACTGTAGCCTATAGAACAGTAACATATACAATGTTTGACACACCCCCATAGGCTAAGTAGGAGAGAACAAGGGGTCACAAGACCAGTCAAGAAAGACAAAGCAAGCTCAGGGTGGATCACAACGTCACCACACACTCTGAGCACAAGCAAGAGGCCACAAGGCTAGTTCACATGCAGAGGCATATATGTAACACAACCATCACAGTGATCTAAACCTAACAAAGCAAGCATGCAGGTATATATATATAGATCACAGTACAGTCAAAGTCTACAACAAGTGAGGAAAAGTGGGCACAAGCCCTAGCAAAGTGCAGAAACGCTGATGATCACCAGACTGAAGTGCCTTGGTGAATATATCAGCAGTGTTGGCCTGAGTGGCCACGTAACGCAAACGAAGCTGACCACACTGCTGCAACTCTCGAGCCAGGAAGTAACGTAGAGCGATGTGCTTCGTTCTGTGCTCTAGTCTGTGCTCCTCACACAAGGCAATGGCTGCACTGGAGGAGAACTAGGCCGCTCTCCCAAGTCGGTCAACAGGTAGGTGAGCCAGCGTAACTCCTGTGCAGCCATGGTTGTGACGTAGATCTCAGCATCACAACTGGAGCCGAGAACTGAAGACGAACGCGTACAATGCCACAAAACTGAGCCCCTCCCTCCAAGCACGAGCCCCATGCCTGATGTACTGCACAAGTAGTGCAATACCCTCTTTGCAGCATCCCAGTGCACCTTTCGGTGCCTACCAGGAGCCACGTAGCGGGCCAGAAGGCCAAGAGGGTACGCTAGGTCAGGACGAGTGCGAGTCATCAGGTACATGAGGCAGCCAACTAGCTCTGGGTAAGGACCACTCGGCTCTACGGACTCATCCGAAGGCAGAGCTGAGAGCAAGTGACCTGTAGCCAGAGGATTTGGCTGTGCCAAGGACCAGGTGAAGCCGAAGCGCTGAAGGACCCGCTGCACCATGTGTGACTGAGTCAGCGTGATGGTGCGTCGTGCTCTGTCCCGGGTGATCTGTAAGCCAAGGTAGCTGCGCATTTCACCCAGGTCTGTGCATGTGTGTCTCTTCTGCAGCTCCGACTTCACGTGGGTGAGAGCCTCAGTGTCAGCAGTGGCAAAGACCAAGTCGTCGATGTACACGAGGATGTAGAACGGCGGCAGCGACGTGTCGGTGCGCAGAAACAGCGACGGGTCAGCAGTAGAAGGAGCAAACCCAAGAGCCGCAAGAGTAGTCCTCAGTGTGTCGTGCCACTCATGTGGCGCCTGGCGGAGACCGTAGACCGGCCGCCGGAGGCTCCACTGGGTACCAGGAGGAAACGACACAGTGAAGCCAGGAGGGCGGCGCAGCCAGATCTCCTCGTGCAAGCTGCCCTGCAAGAAAGTTGTGCTGAAGTCAAGAGAGTGAAGCTCGTAGTCACGCTGAGCGGCAACGTGCAGTAGCACCCGAAGAGTGGTCACCTTCGGGGTGGGGGAGAAGTTCCGGAAGAAGTCTACTCCCTCTCGCTGACTGAAGCCTCGAGCAATGTAACGAGCCTTGAAGACAGGCGGAGAACCTGGCGGCCGCTTCACCCTGAAAATCCACATGCCACTGACGATGTTCACCCCAGGAGGGGGAACCTCGTCGGCGTAAGTGCCAGTGGGCTTCCAGGATGCCATCTCTGCATCCATGGCTGACTGCCACTGAGAGGAGTACTCACCCGCGATCGCCTCAGCGTAAGAGCGCGGGGTCGGGATGTCTGGTGCATCCGGGTCTCTCTCAGGTGCAATCAGCATGGACACGAGATGAGGTACAGCAGCGGCAAAGCACTGCAACTCCTCCGTGCCTGTCCTCAAGGACGTCCGTGCCTAGAGCACACTCACCCCCGACGGACGGAGGACAGACAAACTCAGACTCAGTAACAAGACTCGCGGCGTAGTCTAGGCGACAGCGAGCAGCAAAGGCGACAAGCTCAGCAACTAGGGCAGACGCAGCAGCAGACTCAAAGGAAGGGTCAGCGACAGTCGTGGTCAGGAGACGCTTGACAGTAGGACTAGCGGCACGAAGAGAGTCAGACTCCGGGTCAGCAAGGGCAGGAAGAGAGGACGCAGGAGGAGAAGGCAGTGGAAAGACGAAGCGTGGAGCAGTGGAAAGACGAAGCGTCATCTGGTGAGTGCCTGGGACAGCAGGAGGATGCTGACGCAGGGACAGGACGACCAGTGCGAGCAGCACGAACTTTGCATCAACAGCGTTGTGAGAGCTAGTCCGCCGAGCATATGATTTTTTGGTCGCACCGTCGCACCATTGAGAATATGAGAATACGAGTTCACTCGCATGCTCTGAAAGCTGGTCGGGATTGACATCGCTTCTTTACCACTGTTCTAAAATCACCTCCTGTCCGAGGGATGACTCGATTCATACCCTGCTCTGCAGCAACATGCTCAATGAGCGTGCACGTTGCTGGTGCTGGTGAAGCATCATGCTCCGCTGTATGCACGCCGAGTGAGCGCGAGAACGGACTGTCGCGAAAGGAAACATGTGGGTTTAAGGCGGCTGCTCGGCAGCAGCTCGCACCGGAGACGTGAACAGCGGATGCGTGGTGTGCGTCAACTGGTAGAGTCGGCGAAGGTGAGGGTTGAGAGGAAATGGTTGAGAGGAGCATGGTTTTCGAGGCATGATTCTTTGCATGGCGTGTTGTGTGTTAGAGGGATGTTGCGAATGGGTCTCAGGAGAATACAGCTCGACTTAATGGCATGACATGGCGTGGGGATGATGCATGCTGCATGATGGGCTTAATGCGTGATGGGATGGTGCATGATGGGATGACCCGTGACGTGTGAAGGCATGAGATGTGACGCCATGACACATGGCGGCATGTCATTCACGCATGTCCCTCACGCATGTCACTCACCCATTTCAGGCCCATAGCTTGGTCAACCTATTGATATATTGTTTTCCCTTCACACCCTCCATCCCACCCCCCTCCAAATCACCTCCCATCCCCTCCCCCCCCCTTCCATATCCTCCCCCCGCCTCCTCCCTTTCCAACATACCCTCGCCCTCAGTCCCACTTAGAAGGTCTGTTTTCCAGTTTCCACCCCACCCGGTTTTCCCCCCTAATTCTCCAACCCCCTCTGTCCGTTACCCTCACCTCATGTTGCATGCTCATTTCTTCCCATGTTTATTTGCAGATGTATTTCGCCCTTTTTCGGTTACTGTAGCCAGCACCCTTCCATTCGGCGCCACCACCTGATTCTCCATTCTCTGCAGCTGCGGCTGCATCCACCCTCCTACATCGCTCCCAACCCCTCTATGTTCCCAGTACTTCATACAATTCTCCATCCGAACTACCCGTGTTGCCTGTTCTTTTGTTTCCCAGGTTTATTTGCGGATGTTTTTTCCAACTCTCCTGTTTCCTCTTCCTCGGGCAGAGACATGGCACTCCCTTGTGTTT